CCCCAAAACCCCAAAACCCCAAAACCCCGCGCTGAATGATTGAGTGCATATGAATGAAAGCAATTATATGATAAAGATTATAAATTGAATTTATTGGAAAATTCTAACTATAATGGTAATTATCATTTACTATATTCTCCTAGTTATTCTTTACCTCTAGGAAAATTGTTCAAGGGCAGAATAATTAGGCTCACTTCCCTAATTTGAGTTAGTCTTCGTTATGGAATACATTAGGCATGGCCACAGAGCACCATTCAAGTTATTGAAAGGAATTTCGGAAAATTCAGGCGGGGTACTTCCAGGAGAGTTGACTGAATATGGGAAGAAGCAATTATTTTTACTTGGTTAAAAGAGAAGAAGGATTTATATAGAGGAGTAAAAATTCCTTAGTTCTAACTTTGATCCCAACGAATTGTTATTATTGTCAACGGATTATTCAAGAACAGCTGAAAGCTTAGAAAACTTGTTACATGGCATGTACCCTATAATGGAATCTGATCTTTATGAGGAACTTGACTACAATGAACATTTATTTAGCGCAATAAAGGACACAAAATATGAGACAATCCTTAATTAGGCTATTTAAGATAAGTGCCCTAGCAAGCCAATCATAAGAATAACTAATGAAATTGATAAGATAATGAACTACAAGTCCAGCACAGTACTAAGAGAATTTCTCACGAAAGACAAGTTTGATATTTTCAAAGTCGAATAGGAAATAGTGGACATTTTTGGTTCAGTCTATACTGATAAAAAGAAAGAACTACAGTAAAAATATGGAGTAGAAATTAAAAACCTCAGAGATTTCTTCGATATAAGTGATTAGATCATATGCGAGCATTCTCCAGTAAGTCCCTAGAATATCTTTGAGTACCGAATGATTGTCACTTACATTTTGGCTAATAACTTCAAGAGCAGTCATGATCATTTTAAAAGTCTATATCAATATAGAATCATGAAACCACTGATTGATGTTCTAGTTAATGCAAAAACACTCTAAAAAGCGAGAAGACCATTGATTCTTAAATACATTGTGCACGGACTTCATGACATTAATCTTGCTTAAATTCTGGATTTCTTGGATTATTTCAATTAGCTAGGTTGGCAGAAAATTTAGCCATTAGATTTTGCTTCCAGTATTAGATTCGAGCTATTGCAAAATAATAAAGAGGATGACTAGTTTAAAATTAGAGTCATATACGATGACCAAATAATAGACTTATATTAAAAGGGAGAGCTTGTTGACTTCGAAGTATTCTTAAAAAAGTTTAGTGATAAATTGAGAGAAAATGAGGATGACCTATTATAGCTTATAAATGAAGATGGGCAATAGGGCATTTAAAAATTAGATTGATTTGCTCTTAAATTCTTTAATCTTAAAGTCATTAATTCTTTTATTAAACTGCGCTAGTTCACAAGGGGTTTTGGGGTTTTGGGGTTTTGGGG